GGGGGGAGGGCTCAAGCTTGCTTAATGTATACTCGTTAGAAAAAAGATGAAGAGAGAAATGAAGACTAGATTGGAATGAGAAAAAAGTGGAACAAAAAGAAGGAAATGAAGGGAAAATATTCATGCATGCTGCCCATAGTAAAGGTAGCATATGAAATGGTTGAATATTTGTTACGTTTCTAATAGTTCCTGAAATCCTTTAAAATGCTGGCAGAAAGTTCCCATGAGAAGTGGCCACCAGGTGTCATCAGAAGGCTGCTATTGATTTGTTTTTTATTCTTCTTAAAATGTATATGAGAATTTTGACTTCTGCAACTTTTTTTTTTTAAACTGTAGCAGAGACTATTTCAGTTAGAGCAGGAACTTTCCTTTGTGACAGATTCCTGGTGAGTTAATAATTTATAGGTAAAACTGAAGATAATAAAGTGACATGTAACTTGTTTTTTTGAGTCAAGGCACAACTCGTCGAGCATTTGGATAAGAGTAGACACTATAAACGGAGCTGCGTATTTGAAAATGGTGGCACAGTGAGTGCGGATGCATGTTGGGTGGTAATGGGTGGATTTGTACGGGACCCATATGCTTGAAGAAGATTTGGCTTAATAATGTATCAAATTATTTTCGTCTAAACACCTACCAGGTCGTCTGAATGTTGAAGCCTTACTGTGGGAAGAAATCCAAGACTCATTTTCTTTCTCCACGGGACACAGTGCAAGCACTTTCAGAAAGAAAAGACATTGTGCCTTCTGTACTCGAAGGTTGGCAGCGAGTTGAGTCCCCTGTCTGTTAGTTGGCTTTGTTCCTGAGAGAATTAAAGGGGCTTTCTGGAACAGGGGAGGCTTTCAGTGAGTGTTTGTTGAGTGAATGAGTGACATAAGCCTCCAGAAAAAACGAGCCTTTTAAACCCTCCCCATTGGGCGATTTTTGAATTCTGCTTGAACAAAGACACCCTCCCACGTCTCCATTGGTGGTAGTGTGCTTGTTCCAACACCTTCTGAGGAAGCTTTTCCTTTTTAGCTGACATCAGCATACACGCCCTTGTTTCCATCTCACCCCCTGCAGCCCACTGGAAGGCACTTCCTTAGGCCGCTTTGCAGTCCTTCCCGCTGGCCTCGCCTCAGCTCTGGGCCTCTAGGCTTAGACTGCTGAGCGCACCTTTTGGGCTCCTAGGCCGTCTCTATCTCTGAGATGTCCTGCATACAGAAAAGGAGTCTTCCTGAAGCCATGCTGCTGTGGTGGCTGCCCCGCCACTGCTGAGGAGATTCCAGCCCTTACTTAGTTCAGAGCCTTGTGCGACGCGGACCTGGCTGACCGCTGCCTTCACTCTAGGATGCGGCGCACTAGAAGGCGGCCTGGACCGCCCGCGGCCTTGCTCGCTCACTGTGTTTTACGGCTTTGCCTGATCTCTCTTGGACTTAAGATGTTTAACTAGCTGTCCCTACCTGCTGCCTCAACAAAAGAAAAACATGATTTTTCATCACCTCAAGGTTTAGTTAAGATGATATTTCTGCTATTTTAGCCAAATATTTCACTTGGAAGTATGATCCTTGTTCATTTATACCGCCTTAGATCTCAGTTTACAGCACACACACGGTCATAGTGTGTGGCCTCGTGTTAGCGCTCCTCCCGTGCGTGTCAGTGGCTCCTGATAGGCTGTGAGCTGGTGAGGGCGAAGAGCGTGCTTGTAGCATTAGAGTTCCTTTCGCATGGCAGGCGCGCGCTCTCTATATGTGTTGAAGGTTATTCTTTCTTGATATACTGACATGTTGAATTATTTCATTATTTAAAAAGGCAATTGGGAAATAAGTGTAGAAACATTTCCTCCTTTTGTTTTAGAATTTTTAGAGTCATTATCTAGAAGACAATAAAGGATGTCATTCTTTTGCTTCCATACAGGAATGTAGTTGTCATTCTTTTGTCTCCAAAAACATACGAGCAGGTGTCATCATTAGAACATTTGTGCTGAGCACTGTTGATGCTATACGTCCCCTTGTGAAGACGCCACTCCCGCCAGTGGCCACGGAGGAGGTAGCGCAGAGGTGTGCAGAGCAGTGTGGGTACAGGAGGAGATGGCTGGGCCGTCGTGAAAAGGAAGATAATTCACACTGTCATAGACTGAGCATTCACAGAAATTTAAATATGACAAATATGACTTCTGTCCTGCACCTTTGCAAGCATATCCATATACGGACTTATGCCAAACTTGATAGAATCGGACACTGAGTCCCCTGTCACTGTCACTCAGCTTTAAGCACCTTCACTGTGCCCTTCTCCTGGATGGCTCTGAAATGCATCTCAGACGTTTTTTATTTCATCTATAAATTTTTTAAGAGAGGAGACATTTCTCATCTCGCAGTGAGGTATTTGCTCATGCCAGCGCCTTATATGTGCTTGGACTTGTTCTGGGCCCTTGGGTGAAAGGGGGGTAAAATAAACCATGCCTCTACAGTCCCGTGTGGGGAGGCAGAAAAGAAACCAGATGCATTACCAACCGGGACAGGGGAAACATTGCTTTCATCACAATGTAAAACTTCTGCCTATCAAAAGCCAGCATTAATAGGATGAAAAGGGAGCAAGTATTTCCTTTTTATAAGGAAATACTTATATCCGACATATATCCGACAAAGGGTTTATATCCAGAATATATGAGCAACTCCTCAAGCTCCGTAAGAAAATAGACAATTCAAGACACAGGCAGAGGCCACCCAGTGCCCTACAGAGCACGTGACAAAGTATCTGGCACTGTCACTGGTCACGGGGAAAGCAGCGGAAAGCCACACACACCCGTTACAGGGACTAACACATAAGAGACTGACAGCTTCGGATGGGGGTGAGGCCGGGGACCAGTCCAACTGCTAGCCGCTGCCGGTGGCTGTGTAAAACAGTGCAGCCACTTTGAAAATCCATCAGTGTCGGATGGAGTTAAACATACCCTGTAGCCCAGCAATACCACCCCTATGTATTTATACAGAAGGAATAAAAGCGTGCGTTCATAAAAAGACGTGTACAGGAGCATTCACAGCGGCTTCACCATAATAGCAAAAACAGGGCAGCAGCTCAGATGTCCATCAGCGAAATTGTGGTAAATCCACACAAGCGCATGCGCTCAGCCTGGTCACACTGCTGCTGCAACCCAACAAGCCTCCCCCCAAAGGCAACTTCGGGAACAGGCCAAACTGGTCTGTGGTGGAAGAATTCAGAGCAGCGGTGGCCTCGGAGAGGAGGCACCAAGGCCTGAGTGTGACCTGGCTTGAGACTGTCTGGGAAGATGGCTGTGCTTTGTCTTAATAAGGCCACATGAGAGACCCCCGCAGACCCCGGGCTTCTCTTTCGGCCTCTGTCCTCTCCTTTGCTCTTCCCTGAGGACTCGAGCTGCCCCTCAGCTCTGTGGGGAGACCCCTCCCTGTGCTGTGGCCCGGGTCCTCGCTCCAGGGGGTCAGCTGGACTTAGGTCTCATCTCAGGGGTCACTGAGGCTGCTGTCCAGCATCTCATGCTGTCGTTTCATACATTTTGTTTGTTTTTTTCCCCCTTTTTAGTTGTTTCATTCATGAGAGAAATTCAGTCCCTGGGATTTTTTGACCAGAGGGGAAGTCCTGGATGGAGAAGATCTATTTAAAAAAACATGTTGGCTCACCCCTTACAACGGAGGCAGAGATTTTGTGTTGTTCTGTAAGTCCAGTGTCTACAACCAAGAATACTTGGCATATACTGGGCGCTAAGTGCAGTTTCTGGAACAGACACATCATTCATTCTTCCTTTCATCCCTCCGTTACGAAGGCTGAATAGCAAAACCAGTGCTTTATCTAAAAGAGCATTTTTCTGAAAGGTCTGTTGGATCTTTATAAACACAGAGTTTTGTAATGAATTTGCTTGGGAACCGCTTATATACTGAGATATCCTGTGGTAAAGAAATTTTGTTTAAACCAGACTTTTCTAAACTTATTTGACCAGGGATATGCCCCCTTTCCCCCCCACCCCCTAAAAAAAATACCTGTTAACCTCTTACATAATTTATATTTTCTGGAACACATCCTGAAGAAATGGTGAACATCTTATAAGTGTAATAAAACCATGTACATTTATCTTTTTCGCTCTTTAATGAGAGCGATACGTGTTATATTGTATAACAATATAATAACAGATACAAGATGTTTTCGTATTGTGGATTATATATGACAATGGATACATTTTTAAGCAGCTTTATTGAAATATTCACATACCATTCAATTCACCTATTTAGACTGTGGTTTAATGGATTTAAGTATATTCAGACATGTGCAACCATCGCCACAATGAATATACATTTTCATCACCTCAGAAAGAAATCCTGTACCCTTTAGCTATCACTCCCCGCCCCCAGGAACCAGTAATCTACTCTCTGTCTCTATAGATTCTATAGGTTTGTCTATTCTGGACATTTCCTATAAGAAGAATTCTATAATATGTGGTTCTTTATAACTGTTTTTTTCCACTTAACATAATGTTTTCAAGGTCCATCCATGTTGTGGCATGTATCAATACTTCATTTTGTAGCTGAATATTTTTCCATTGTATGGATGGACCACATTTAGTTTATCCGTTGATCTACTGATGAACATTTGGGTGCTTTCCACCTTCTGGCTATTATGAATAATATTGTTATCTACATTCCTGTACAACTGTGTGTGTGCATGTAGGTTTTCGTTTCTCTTGGGCTTTACCTAGGAGTGGAATTGCTGGCTATATGGTAACTTCATGTTTAATTGTTTGAGGAACTACCAGACTGTTTCCAAAGTGGCTGATCACCATTTACATCCCAGCCAGCAGTGTGGGAGGGCTCTGCGTTCTCCACATTCTCGCCAGCATTTGTTAGTCTCTGACTTTCTGACTCTAGCCATCCCAGTGGGTGTGAAGTGGGATTGTATTATGGTTTTGATTTGCATTTCTCTAATGATGACTGATGTAGATTATGTCTTCATGCACTTTTTGGCCATCTGTGTGTAACTTCGTTGGAGAAATGTATATTCAACTCCTTTGCTCATTTTAAAATTAGTCTTTTTATTACTGAGTTGTAAGAGTCCTTTACATGTTCTAGATTAAGTCATATATAAGATATATGATTTGCAAAGTTTTTTGCATTCTGTTGGTTGTCTTTTCATTTTCTTGATAGTAGCTTTGGAAGCATAGTGACATTTGAAGTTCTTAAATTTGATAAAGTCCAATTTATGCATTTTTTTCTTTTGTTGCTCATGGTTTTAGTGTCACGTATATATTTTTTGTTCCCTACTTTTAGCAGAGTCAAAGCAACAGCCTTCATTTTTTTTGTCATTGTTATGGAAAAAAAGTTATTAAATTGGAGGTCATAATATGTGATGGCTTTTTATTAACATCAAATCAAATGGCATTTGTTGAAAATCCTAATCATGGTGTAAAGTAAATGGAAAATGACATATTTTTATTGAATTAAATAGCATAATGAAAAATAAAATCATTATTATTGATTTTAAAGCATTTTACTCAATAAAATTCCTTTTCTTCCCCCAAGTTTACTAAATTAATTCTACTCTACCACTGGCATTTCCTTTTGCTGTTAACCTTCAGACAACGCAAAATGACTATTAGATGAAGAAATTGGTGATTGACAACTGGAATAGGAGCGGCTTTACATTGATTGGTGAGACAGCTTGAGCATGAGTGGTGATATGTGATAAGAATGTGCACGCTGTTAATTAGCATACAGTTAGAAAACTAATGGTAAGGCTCTTTGCTCCAGGGGAAAAGGATAAGCAGTTGTTTTTATTTTTAGTTATTTTTTATTTGTTACATTTATTGGGGTGACATTGGTTAGTAAAATTATACAGGTTTCAAGTGTACATTTCTATAATATATCACCATATATTTGACCTTTTGTACCCTTTTCTATCAGCCCTCTCCCTCCTTACCTTCTGGTAACCACTAAACTGTTGTCTGTGTATTTCTGTTTCTTTCTTTGTCTTGTTCCTTTGTTGCTGTCAGTTTTATATCCCACCTATGAGTGAAGCCATATGGTTCTTAATTCAAAAAATCTGAATACATTTATCTGTAAAGGTATATGTACCCCGATGTTCATTGCAGCTTTATTCATGGTGGCCAAGACATGGAAACAACCGAAGTGTCCTTCAGTAGATGATTGGGTAAAGAAGATGTGGCATATATACACAATGGAATATTACTTGGCCGTGAGAAAGGATGAAATTCTGCCATTTGTGACAACATGGATGGATCTTGAGATTATTGTGCCAAGAGAAATAAGTCAGACAGAAGCAGTTGTTTTTAAATGTGTTCCTTTTGCACTAGGACTTGGGCTTCTGTTCCAAAGGCATAGAGGGCAAGCCTGACTCCCTGACTTGCATCATAGCAGTTTTGTTTTAATGTGTTTTACAGAGTGGGAATTCACTGAAATAATTTGAAAAGAGAGCTTCTCTGTTCAGAAAAATAAAGTAGTAACTTGAAATGTACTGGTAAAGAGAGTTGAAACTTGGTAGTTTCTTTTGCAAGCCAGTTGAGAGAATCCCCTTTCTATCAAAGGTCCCACGGTATTGCTTTCTGGGTCAGCAGCGAGGTGAGGCGGTGTTCCCACAGTCTGATTTCCTACTTCTCATAAGGATCGCATATCAGGGTCATCTCAGCATATTGGACTCTCACCGAGGCTAATTTTATGTTTTCACCCAGTGTGTCACTTTATGTTGACTTTCAAATTAACGTCTTTATGTTCAAAGGTTATAATACCATGTCTATTTTCTTTACAGGTTATGAGTGCGAAGTGAGTCACCACTGGCACAGAGAACTTCATCAGCACTTTATTAATGATGGATACTGAGAAGAAACCAGAGAATGATGAGGATGAAGATGTAAACAAAGAAGCAAAAGACTCGAGTGATGTTTCATCCTGCCTTGTGGATTGTGGGCCCGTGTCTGATGTGATAGCAAATTCCTCTGAGATCTCCACAAGCAAAAGAGGTTTTTCAGAATCATCAAACTCGGACAGTGCCGTTTTGGAGGAAGGCGGAAATAAACATGCTTCCAAACGAATGAAATTGGCCGAGGTGGAGCCCCTCAGATCTGCAGAGCAAGGTGTTCATGGGTTGGAAACTTCCCAGTGCTCACTCTCAGGAGTGGGTGTCCCGTCGGACGGGACAGGGAAGGGGCCCTCCCTGAACGACTGCTCAGATGGAGACGCAAGTCTTCCCACCACCTTCTCCCCACTCTGCAATTTTAGCACTGTTGATGCTGTTTCTTTGAAAACAGACACGGAAGCAACACCTGCTCAGGAAACGGTTTCCCTGGACTTGGAAGGAGAACCTCCTTTTCCCACAAAAGAGATTCGTGTTAGTTGTACTGTTGGTGATGGAGATTCAGTTCTCAAGTGCAACGTTTGTGATCATTCATTTTCATCTTGCTTTGATCTGCAAAAGCATGCTGCCTGTCACACGCAACAGTCTAAGGAGCACGCCTGCTGCCACTGTGGCCACCAAGCGGAGAGCAGCGCAGCGTTACAGACGCATGTGACGCAGACACATGGGCCACAGAAAGTCTTTTCTTGTGATCTCTGTGGCTTTCAGTGTGGGGAAGAAAACCTTTTGAACGCACATTGTCTGGGCAAAACGCATCTCCGGCGTCAGAATCTTGCTGCTCGTGGAGGATTTGTACAGATCTTAACAAAAGAACCTTTTCCTAAGAAACCATGTACCATCGGAACAAAAAATGTTCGCGTAAAACCAAGAGCTTCTAAACCAATAGCAAAGAATGGTGATTCAAAAGGACTAAGAAATGTTGGAAGGAAATTTAAAGATTTCAGAGGAAGCATTTCTAAACAAAGTGGAAGTAGCAGTGAGTTGCTTGTGGAAATGATACCATCCAGCAATACTTTGTCAGAAAAAGTAGAGATTGTTGAAGAAAATGTAACTTCCCTTGGTATAGCTGGAAATCCTGAAAACCAGAGTAAAAAGTTAGGAGCTTTAGCCACCTCAGAGGGTCTCTTAGATAAATTGGAATCTACCAAAACTACCCCACAGACAGCGCACGGTGTCGGTCTAAACCCGAGACCAAGACCCGAGCGACACGTTCTCATGTTGGGTGACAGCTTCCGACGGCGGACTGGCACTCTCACCTTAAAAGGCCAGGCAAAGAAAAGGTTTAATCTGTTAGGAATGAATAAAAGAGGCACTGCTGAGACTCAGAGGATGTATATGAAACACTTTAGAACACAGGTGAAGGCAGGAGATGCAGAGTCCACACCTGAACACCTAGCTGCGAGTGGCAGTGTCTGCAGCCTGTGCCCGACTTCCTCAGAAACCCAGGGCCCGAAGCAGGACGGTGGGAACACCCACGTTGTGTGTTCCTTTGAGTCACCGACCGTGAGGGCAGCTTCCGACCACAAGGTGTGTACTTGTACAGACTGTGGCCAGATAGCCACGAGTATGACAGAGTTGGACGTCCATGCGCAAAGGTGCCACACAGCAGAGGTGAAGTTTCACTGCCAAACATGTGACTTTTCCAGCGTGTCGCGGAGGGACTTGGATGAACATTTCCACACCAGCCAGCACCAGCCAACCGCCTGTGTCCTCAGCTGCCAGTGTTGTTCGTTCATTTCCTCGAGTGACAGAAGTCTTAGCGAGCACATGAAGGAAAAGCACAGTATGGGTTTTCTTTGCACTCCTTGTAACCTGTTCTTCTTGTCCGAGAAAGACATGGACGAACACAAAACCACTGAGAAGCATGCTCGTTTACTGGTTCAACCAAAGACTTCTCAACCATTTAACAATGATGTGATTTTACAGACTTTACCTTTGAGTGCTCTAGAGCTAGAAAACACAAAGGAGTCTGTGAGTGAGTCAGGAAGAGCCACTCAGGAGGAAGCAGCCAGGCCCCGGCTCAGCCACGGCAATGAAGGAAGGCATTCCAGCAGGCCCCAGTTCCAGTGTAAGAAGTGCTTTTATAAAACTAGATCGTCCACCGTTCTCACCAGGCACATCAAGCTCCGGCATGGTCAGGACTACCACTTTCTCTGTAAAGCATGCAACCTTTATTCACTGAGCAAAGAAGGAATGGAGAAACACATTAAGAGGAGCAAGCACCTTGAAAATGCTAAGAAAAATAATATCGGCCTAAGCTTTGAAGAATGTATTGAAAGGGTATGTATAGGTGCAAATGACAAAAAGGAAGAGTTTACCCCTGCCAGCAGTGGAAGGACAGACGGCCAGCTAGACGGTGTGCAGTCCCAGGAGCGTTCCTCTCTTGAGAAGGGCAGACTCACTGCCAAGGAGCTGTCACAGCCTGGTGGAACCGCCAAAGATGATGAATTAGCTTTGACCGCTACTCCAAAGAGAGGGAGACCGAAAGGTACTATCTCACGGACATGTTCACACTGTGGCCTCTTGGCTTCGAGTATTACAAACTTGACTGTTCACATTAGACGGAAGCACAGCCACCAGTATAGTTATTTATGCAAAGTGTGTAAGTATTACACCGTAACTAAGGGGGACATGGAGCGGCACTGCACCACCAAGAAACACAAAGGACGGGTGGAAATAGAAGCGAATGGGAAGCAAAGTTCAGCTATCATCGTTGGGCCCGAAGGCGGTAACCATGAAGCCTGCAGAGGGAACACCAGCTCAGCAGTGTCGGATGAACATGCTGGTAAGTCAAGGGAATCAGAGCCCTCGGTTTCAGGACAGCCCGGGGAAGAGCATGGGAGCCGCGCGGAAGCTGAGGCTGGCCGTGGCTTTCATCGTGCGGAAGGGGAGGCTAACAGCCACCCTCCTGATAAAAAGGAACAAGTGTCTCTAGAACCAGAGGACCTGATGCGACAGGGGGATGCCTGCTCCCAGAGCGATGTCATGGGTCCAGCTGACAATAAATGCACCCACTGTGAGTTTCACGCTCACTCTCCTGCTTCTCTAGAACTGCACGTCAAACGGAAACATACGAGAGAGTTTGCGTTTTATTGCATGGCCTGTGATTACTATGCCGTGACTCATCGAGAGATGACGAGGCACGCGGCGACAGAAAAGCACAAGGTGAAGAGGCATTCTTACCAGCACTCTTCTAACGCAGACGCAGGTTCTGCGGAAATGTCCCCAAACATCATTGCTCCTGAGGGGCAGCAGCCACAAAGTCCTGAAGAATTGCCAGTAATTTCGGACCGACCACTGGAAACCCTTAAATCTAGAAACCCTGCTGATTGTTCAGTTTTAGATGAGAGTATTAATTTAGACATGTCCAAAGTACTCTACGCTCCTGACACTGTAGAAGTGGGGGCTGAGGAAGAGTCCAGTCTCAGTGGAGATCATTCCTTCTGTGAAACTTCCCAGCAGCCTCTTGCCAAGGATAAAGTTAGCAAACCCAAGGAGATGGCGTCCCTTAATATTTCCTCTAATTATGGCTCCCTGTGCACATTTCAGGATGAGAATTCAGGAAGCTCAGCTTTGAATTACGAGATAGCAAAGAAAAACCACCATCGGGTGAGGGACACCGGTGAGCCAGGAACGCAGTGTGAGAGCGAGGGAGGACACGCAGGCGACCCCGCAGGTGAGGCCCTTGGCAAACCCGTAGGTCCCGGAGTCCCAGGTGGCGTGCCCTCCGTGGACAGCGTGCTGCGAATGGCAGCAGGACAGCCACACCCCGCCAGCAGCGGGCACGACAAAGCAGGCGACGTGCAGACCTCAGGGGATTTGCAAGAAGTGGGAGGAGATCCCGTCCTGGAGAATAAGGAAGTGCTGATGAATTCACAACATGAAACGGAAATTATTTTGGAAGAGGACGGTCTTGCTTCTGATAGCACAGTGGAAAGTAATGATATTTACGGAACGATAATCAGCATCGATGAGAAAGGACAGGCCATGTACAGTTTGGGCCGGTTCGATTCTTCCATCATAAGGATAAAGAGCCCGGAGGACGGCGAGCCGAGAGACCAGTCTGAGGAGGGTCTGGGGGCAGCCGGGGTGAGACTCAGCGAGCCGCCCCTCAGAGACTGTGCCCACGGGGCGAAGAAGAGGAGGCCCGAGGGCAGCCCCTTCGCGGAGTCCACACGCATCCGCTGCGACGACTGCGGCTTCCTGGCCGATGGCTTGAGCGGACTGAACGTGCACATAGCCATGAAGCATCCCACCAAAGAGAAGCACTTCCACTGCCTGCTGTGCGGGAAGTCCTTCTACACGGAGAGCAACCTGCACCAGCACCTGGCGAGCGCCGGCCACCTGCGGAACGAGCAGGCCAGCGTGGAGGAGCTCCCCGAGGGCGGCGCCACCTTCAAGTGCGTCAAGTGCACCGAGCCCTTCGACTCGGAGCAGAGCCTCTTCCTGCACATCAAAGGGCAGCACGAGGAGCTGCTCCGCGAGGTGAACAAGTACATCGTGGAGGACACGGAGCAGATCAACCGCGAGCGGGAGGAGAACCAGGGCAACGTGTGCAAGTTCTGCGGGAAGATGTGCCGGAGCAGCAACTCCATGGCCTTTCTGGCCCACGTCCGCACTCACACAGGTACGTGACCCGGCGCCGCCTTCTTCCCGGGGCGCTGCCTACCGGGGAGGGGGGGGGCCGCGCCACCGTCGGTGTTGACACGTTACATCGCTAAAGGCAGTTGCGCCCCCTGATCCCAGAGGCAGCCTCTGTGGCATTTCTTTCCGTTTTATCAAAAAGCCCAGTCCCTCCGATGCTTTCGTTCAAGTCCCCTCTCTTAAGGCTTTGCAGATGCTGCTGAGTCCTAATTGTTTGGTTTCTCTCGGTGTCTATTATAAAGTGGCACTTGGGGTTTCAGAGAACATATTGAATGGCTTTTGAGGAATGGGATAATAAAAATTTTCTTACAGTTTTAGGGGTTTAAAAATATTCGTTGCCAGAGAGTGTATTACATCCGAATGTGTAACCGCCAGGCAGTGAGAGTCTCCTTTCAGGGATGCACCTTAGCGCTTTTCGAAGTCAGCGCATCTGGGGGTTTGGCTTCTGCAGAGGTAGCGTCGTTTCTGGGCTCTGTCACATGTAGTGTTCCATTTTAATGTTTAATTTTAGGTGGAAATTTTTTAAAAACTTTTTTTTTGGTGGAAAATGCATAAGCCACTGTTCTAAATTTATGTAAAAATTCGCTGCACTGTTTCTATAAACCTGCCATACATTCTTTATTTTAAATAGACAGCTTTTCTAAATCATTGGGCTCTGCTTAGACAAGTTCTGTCTCCATGGTTGAATTTATGAGTGGATTTGAATAATAAATTCACATTTCAATGAACATATTTTCATTAAAACTGTAAGGTTTATTTTACTGTACTTTTAAATAATGGCTTATTATTAAAGCTATACTTTAAATTCATGCAGTTTTTGAAACTTTGTGCATCGTTACAAGGAGGAAGGCAAAGAGTAGGAAACATTATTAATAGTGTAAGGTGATTAAAGATAGATAAAAGTTGTTCATTGAAGAAGCCCACAGGGCAGCCTGCCTACGATGAAACTGGGTAAATATCACCGTTGTCCCCTCCAGCCCGCCTTCCCAGTGCTGGAGAGCCATCGGCAGGGGACAGGTCCCGAGATGTGTTTCATGGCTTAGCGATACCTCTGTTGGGACTGTGCTGCCACTCACCCTCTGAAGTGACATGGTTTTAGGAATCAGGCTTGTGCACATGCACAGAAAATATGTACTTTCTTAATATGCCCTCTTAAGGCAGATAAAACAGAATAAAACTAAGGAAGATGCTAATGGAGCCCTTTTTAGAATTCTTTATGCAACTGTCTGGTCAAGACATGTTGCTTATAATTGATGTGTCCATTACTTGAATTCTCTTGTAATTATAGTCAATAAGTCTTGTAAATGTGTTAAAGCTCACTAAAAGCATACAGATTCAAGAACAGAGTAAGGCTAATAATTTAAAATAATCAATGTAGGCATTTCAGCACTTAATTTCCCTTGTGTGTTGATAGCTGATCATTCTTAATCCATTAAGATTTATTTAGTCGTTTACAATGCAAAATAGGTTTGCACTGGTCACTTGTGCCATTTGAAAATGTCCACCAGGTTAAGTGCAGAATGTAGTCCATTAGTCTTCCTTGACTATATGTATTAATTGCATTTAAAATCAAGTTAATGTGGATGTGAAAGTGAGGTAACTATCAATATGTGACAAAGTAACCCTACTTATATAAGTTACATCATTGATTGTAACATTTAGTAAAAGTTCGCATACTTTTTTAACGTTGTCGGGCTTATCTGCAAGTACATTTTTATGGTGTTCTGAGGTACCGCACAACACCGCCAGTCTGCCATTTAAGCTTCGCAAGTCATTTTTGGGGGGAAGTTGCTCTCCAGGTTTTCACTCCCAGTTTTTTTCTTGGCCCATCTGAAAATGAATTGCTTTTCTGCGACTTTGCTTATGTCCATGAACTAGTGATGCGGGGACTGTTATTAATGGGTAACTGGAAAAGGCTTACCCTTCCAATCCCTGTTTTCATATTTTGTGATTTACTCTGTTTTATGTAACCGTTTCTCCCCATCCTTAGCACGACTGAAGCAGCAGTGTAAGGAATAAATGGGTTTGGGTTATCGAGAATTGTAGGAGAAAGCACCCCAGGGTGTTCCCCTGTGTCTGCTGGTGTGAAGCCAGCAGCGTGACCAGAAACGGCAGCGTCTCCTTGCCCATTGCATCAGTAGTACAGAAAACGGGCTCGCTTTCTCCCCTGCATCATCCTGTTAGTCAGAGCTTTCATTTCCTGCTACATGGAAGATGCCTATGCCAGAAGACTGTCTGGGCCCCTCGTTTCATGTTCGCTGTGTGCTGGGCACGGGTGCTATCGCATGTGTTCACATGCGGGGACATAGGGCATCATGTGACTGCTGAGCAAGTCCCAGGTTAGGGCTGGGAGTGTGTGTGACTTACCAGGTGACAGCTCCGAGCCGAGGCAGCCTGAGAAGAGATGGGTTAGGGGTTGGTCTGTAGGCTGAGAGTGAAGATGTAGGATTGACTTGGTTCACTGCTTCCTCTCTGTGCCCCACACGTGGTTGGCTGTCAGTGTCATTGGTTGAATGAATGACTAAGTGAAGGATGCCGATGAATGAGGGAATGAATGAAGTGTTCCGTGTGTAGCAAGGAGTGGAGCATTCAGGCTGGAGTTGCGAGGCATTAAACGATGGACTGTGTCCACCTCCCTTGGTTCTGTGAGACCTAAACTTTTGTTAATTCCTTAATGTTAATGTTGCACCTGTGTTTGCCTAACAGTCACAGTGACTGACGTGGGGCTTACCTGTGCAGGTCAGTGAGGAGACTTCCTTGTTAACGTCTTGGGAATTCCGCTGGTAACATTATGTGGTGCCAGGAAGCTGGAGAGCCGCTTTCGTTTTGCCCTTTCAAAAAACCTCACAGGCCAAATTAAAAGAATAAAACAGCTGCTGAGGATGCTGTCCCAAGGAATGGAACTATTTAAATTAATATTGACAGTTTATAGTTGCAATACGCCTTAGAGAAAGACAAATTTAGAAATACATGGTTTTCCCAAATTTGCCTTATAAACACTATACCTGGATTCATTTTGGGATGTGCATAGCACACTTAAAAAGGGAAACATTATCAGTTAGGAAAAAAGGGACACATTTTTTTTTCTTATACCAAAAAGTATTGTGGCACAGAAAGGAGATGTTTACACCGTCTGCTCTGAATATAAGACAAGAAAACTAGCCAGGGCCTCTGATTTCTGCATGAAAGCAGTCAACACAGTAACTCATTTGTGTGTTGTCAGCACACTGGCATTGATCGCTGAGACCTGAAGGCACCCGGGTGCTTCACCAAGGAGCCATGCATGGTGCCCTGAGGACTGGAGGTCTGGCTCTGCCCCTGGTGGCACCTGCCGTTACATCAGGAGGAAGTCGCCACAGTGTTAGTGCAGCGCGAGCAAGGGGGAAACTGCAGCCCCCAAGATAGGGGTCACCAGCTTGTAACACAAATGTTCAGAGAGCTTTGTCTTCTTTATTTGGGGTCCTGGCGTTATTGTTAATTAATAATTTCCTAAGTACCTTATTATCTTTAATACGTTTTAATTGCAAGCACAGGTAAATTGGTTCTTCTCACTGTTGGCTTTTCTAAGTCCCTTTATAGAGGTCTATGTCGAGATGAAATGTTTCAAAGTAGTGATAGGCTTCGTTTTAACAGAATCATTTAAATAAACTAGTTTCTAATGTGATTGATAGAGTGTGATTGCTGTAAGCTGCAGTCTCAACCTGCTTTTGACATTTAAACATACAAAGCTGACTAGATATAACCATTCAGGTGCTAAGTATATTTTACATCTACTTCCAACAGTGGAAATGGAGGTATTAAGAGCTCTGGCTTCATTGTCATTGAACTGTGACATATTCAACCTTCTCTGCCTGTGCTTAGTGCTGTTGACTTTTTTATTTCTGTTAGAAGATTAAAATTAAATGCTTCACTTTTTTTGTCAGCTTTTGGGAATTAAATTGAAATTTAAGACTCTCAAATTTTTTACTGAGTGCTTCAATTTCAACAAAGTATTCTTGGAGGATTTTTTTTTTCCAAGGGCACTGCACAAAGGTTCATTGATCAAATATGATTTATTGCAATTTTTTTATTTGAGCTCTTTTTGTATATTTATTAAAGTTCACATATTTCATATTCTTTCTAACCATATTAGAAGAGGTATTTCACCAAATAGATACTAAACATGATATGAAAAATCTGGAAACATATTGTACTGATTTTAAACTGACTTTTCTATGATTTTGATTTATTTATTTGAACACTTAGTGTTTAGTAAATCAGAAAAGGGCATATACATATTGCAGCTTAAAAAGTGTTTCTCTTTAAGGTGGGTGCTGATTATCTATTATAGTAACTATGTTGCATTTACTGTCTGTTACACTAAGCATGGCGATTCTGAAATAATTCTGTTTTTTCACTGAGTATAGGTTATTTCTATTTCTTTATGAAATAAAAACAGATTTGTCAGTACTTTGCTTTTTATGTTGAAATATTTGTTCTTGAAATCATTAATAACCAAAATGTCAGTACTTCTAGTTTGTAGAATCACCACAGATTTTTTACTGTAAAATGATCATAAAAACAAATAATTTGTCCACCATATATTCTTATATTGTATGCTATTAAAATAGTAATAGAATGAATCACTTGGAATAAATATCAGAAAAAAATCTAAAATACCATTATTAATGTGAATAAATTTAAAGCTGCAGAAATATGAGGAAATGAGGTGGCCTCTAAGAAGTTTATTTGATGATAAATATGCTTTAAAAATATCAGCTACTCAGTATGCATTTATGTTTTTAAAATGTTTCATTTTAAATGTTGAGTGACTTTCAAAGATACTTTTGTGAATTGTAAGGAAACATTTAAAACTATTTAGCTTATCTCAGTTGCTGAGTGCTGCTGAGCTGTATCACTTTGGACTTAAAAACCTTACAAATGTTACTGAAAGTTTGGAACCCTTTCTGAAACATTAGCATTGTCTTGGTGGGATAATTATGGAGCGCAGGTCTTTTCACTTTAGAAAGGAATGCAAGTATTCCATTTTGAAGACAGAAATTTGTGATTAGATTAAAAGTATGATTTAAGATCCAAGCCTCTTTTTAAACTATCGGTAATGTATTATTCAAATTCAAATCATATTTTATGTTAAATTTACTTAGGATCAAAACCGTTCAAGTGCAAGATATGCCATTTTGCAACAGCTCAGCTTGGCGATGCCAGAAACCATGTCAAAAGGCACCTTGGGATGAGGGAATACAAGTGCCATGTCTGTGGGTGAGTAAATTGAAACCATCTCTACCGTGGTGAACCAGGAAGCATGTACAGGATAGCCATTGTTTCAGAATTCAAAACTGATATGAGTAAGAGTGGCTAAAATTATGCACGCATGTCCTCCTTCCCATTGTCATGGTAAATTCCTTAAACACAGTTATGACATTCTTCTCCCACCTCTAATCCTGTATTGAAGATGAGCAATTTTATGGGCTACAAGGTCAATTTGAACCTGTAATCTGTAAATTGACTAAATTATAGGATGTTCATTCACATTGCCAGAGAGAACTGTAAATTCCATTTAAAGACATGAAAAATACATAATATAGCTTTAGGAGTGTATATGTATTTTTTTTTAACTTTTGCTGTACTGCTTGAATTTTAATCACATCAGTGGCTCCTTGGATCTGTTGGACGTATTCTGTAAGGAAAAAAGCTGAAAAAGATTTCATTTCAAAAAAACTCATTACTGATGATTGTGGGGATAAAGATTTAAAGAAATGTACAATGTATGTATGTTTTTGTGTAACTTCATTTCAAAACTTGGTTTTTTGTTTTTTTTTTTTTAGTTAATGGCTCTTCCCTCTAAGGAATCATTCATGGTGTTTAATTGTCACTCAGATGTGTTGCATTTCATACATAGGAAGCACTGAGATGCCTTAATGCAAAAGTAATTAATGTAGCAGAAATGTTTAAAAGGCTTTAAAATGCCATGACATCTGCGGTATAGCAGGACATTGAGAACTGGGTTTTAATACCTTACTTCTGATTAAAAATATTGTAATGTTATTATGCCAGAGAAATTAATAAGTGCATCGTATAAAAACACTTTATGTGAAACCCGAGAACCCTGAAGTTCTTACGGTTCATTCACAAAATACTACAGGTTCAATTAAATTATGCACATGCTCATGTTATATTAGGTTTACTTTTTTATTGGAAGATTCTTCTGGTTGGCACTACTGTGTAAATATAAATATCTTTTAAGTCAAAAACATCTTCTTTTTTTTGTTGTTGGACAGTATGCTTCATCCTGGGATGCAGTTGTGTTTTTTGACCCTGAAGAGAGTTTTACAAATAACTTTGCAAGCAATTTTATTAACCATGGCCTGTGATTTATTCATTGGCAGAATTGATGGTTCAGTGACTTGGAGCTAAAGTAAATGAAGATGAACCTTTGCCCTCAAGCCCCCTGAAGATCAGTGGGAAAGCGAGTTTCATTGCTACTGATTTTAGCTTCAAGGGTCGAGTGCCAAATGGTTTATTTTAATTGCTCTGGGTCCTGGAATTTAAAAAGATTTCTCATTTATTGTTTTTAACCATATGAGTTATAGGAAAGGGGAAGGCCCTGACTCCGATGAAAATTTGCTATTAGTTGGCAATGAGCAGTTTCTTCCTCATTTCTGCAAAATAAGTCAACACACTCTGTTATTAGAAATCAAATTCCATCCATTTTTATTAGGGCTACTAAGACCCTGGAAACGTTTTCAGAGAACAGTAAATGACACATGTAGCATCAAAGCGGTTCGTGACCTACTGGCGTTGACGGTGTAATTCGTACAGTGCCCACTCTGCGTAGCTCAGGGCTTGAGCACATACAACTGGAGTGGTGCACTAGTGTTTGCATATTTGATTCCCAAGATAAAGACTTATAAATGCACATGGGATATTGAGCTTCATGCCGCTGGCTTAGAGGTCTCCATGTGTATGTGTGTATAGAAAAAGCACTCTCGGTACAAAAATTGTATCTCTTAGAATTATGGTAGCCATTGAATTTTATTTGACTATGAACTGATAGATCTCTCAATATTTTTAAGTGAAATTTGATTTAAAACTTACATGACAATAATTTTTACAAGGTAGATATTTTCCCAGTGCAGCTAAAAGTTCTAAAGAATTGCAGTAAACTGAAAAATTCCTATCTATCTGTGTGGTCCAAACAGAACAATAGTGAGTCAGATGCCTTTTACTGTCACAGAAAAGGTGCCAGAGGCTGTCCGTGTGTTTCAAAGGGACGGGGCAGTTTGTAGGTTATAGGAAAAGTGGGAAACACTGAAACACGTGTGGAAGGCCTAGCTTTCCTGATGGCAGCGGAGAGCGTGGGTACATTAACACCACTGACAATGTCAATTCATTATCATTGATGGCTAAATAATCTCAGAAATGCTCAGCGGACCTATTAGTTCCTGAACATAAGCAGCTCATGCTGCATTTCTTCATTAGCTTTAATTGCTATAAATTTTACCTTTTAAAAAATCACGCTTTGAAAGGTGAAGTGATCTTTCAGGAACATTAACTCTATAATTTTGTCACAAACAGAAGGTCCTGCACTCTGCTTTCTTTTCTGCAGTAGTTAAATATCTTAGTCTTTCAGAACTTTATTAATAACCTCTTCATTATTTGAGTTGTAAGAAATACACTGGTTTTCAAATAGTTCTGATTAATAGTGTATAAAAATAGGGAGGCAGGCACATTTTAGCAGTGAAATGATCATAATGTTGTATTCTTTTTTTAGTAAACTCTTGGCTTTCTTGTGAAAAAACCTAATATTTTATGGTGAAATTGATGGAAATAGCAAACACTGTATTTTATTGAATTGAGCTCAGTATGAGTGTTTCAGATTATTTGTAATTGATTGACTGCTTTTTCCCAGCTTCATGTATCTTTATAGAAGAAGACGGCAGATGCTCACCAAATCTGTAGCTTACATTTTTTCCTAAGGCTTAGTTTCAAGGTTGTACGTTAGCTTCTCTTTTAACAAAAGCTGCCTTTTAAACTTTTGTTTCGGTTGTTTGAACCTATGCTGATTTTCTTTGAATCTTTAAACTGAATTTTAAGATATCTTTTCCTTCCATCGGCAAATCTTAGCTACAGCAGATCATGGATTTAAGTTAGTCTGATGAGAAGTTGAATGTGTTGGATGTCTGATTCCCGTTAGGCAGCTGGGATTCAGAATTCAGGAGTTAAGTTTTGTTTACCCATGGTTTAGATGTTCATGTCACAGTGAAAATTTAAAAAATGTATTGCTTTGCACTGCCTGTTTTAAGAACGTGTCATAGATAACATCATTTAAAAGCCTTTTATTTTACTTTCTCTTTTAGGAGGAGCGATTTTTGAATAGTACTGTTTCTTAATGTTTTTCTTACATCTGAGTGTGATCTTGAGCAATTTTGTGGAATATAGGTGTATTGAGATATATGTGATGGATAGTTAGCATGAAAATGTGCTGTGGGTCTGACATTGGCTAGTGAGGGAGAAAAGAACAAATGATTGAAAGCATTCCTATACATAAGTTAATAAATTAGTTGGGAACATATGTTTAAAAACAGGTTAAACACATATCTTTACTAAATCCATGATCTCTTTACCTTTGTTTTTTTCAGTAGTCAAGAACTTGCAAATCTCAATGGCTTAAAAAAGTCATTATAGACACTGTGTTTTGTTAAATTCATTTACATGTATTTGATAGTCCCAATGTGTTTATATAATACTCTCGATACTAAATAGTATGTATGCAGGACTATGCTTTAATGTACACCTGAATTAACATTCATTTCGTCTGTTGAGCTCTGTAGTTTCATGAGCTGGTTTATCTCATGTTTATTATCCCCACTGTACAGATGGGAATCTTGAGATTAAAAGATTTTTTAGGGATGGACCACTGTTCCCTTTCTTTTAACCGTCCCTTGCTTTCTCTGCTCTTTGTAATATCTGTTGTCTTGGTTACTGCCTTTCATTTGTACTGATGTTTTTCCTTCCTAGGTTGTTCTCACTCGCGCGTAATAACTGTAACTTATCTCCGTCCAGCCCCCAGCCCCTCGTCTTTTCTGCTTTTGCTCAGATTGACGTTCTCTTAAAAAAATTGCTTGCACAGCATTTTACTTTAATATCCTGATATTCAGTCTCTTTTATTTGTATCTGTTTCACTTTTCTCATACTAAAGCATTGTTTTAAATAATTGTATTATTTCCCCTATTGTTCTTTATGTGTTGATAATTTATTGCATTTGGTATAGTAGAGAGAAGTAAGTGCCTAAAAATGTGAAGATTTTACTGTCTTTTCATTAGGATGAGTGGAGTAAAATTGATCAACTTGGCTTATTGTTTTTTGCTTTTCATTACTAGTTATCAAAGCACACAAAAAAAGAGTTAGTAGAAAACTAGTAAGTAGCCTGTGATTTCAGTAAACCTGGAAGATGATACCCAACTTTTGTAAGCCCTTATTCACAAGGACCCCAACATGCCTGATTTAGGGATTATGTTATTTTCAGGTTGACTTCTCCTGTGTCTAGTCTTGAATCTTTGTTTTGAGTTAAATAGTCCAGTAGAACTTACTCAGGAGAGAAGATGGGTATTTTCCGAATCCATCACCTCTGGGTTCATGAAAAGATGCTAGACAGTTTCTATTGTGTATTAATGTGCTTTTGAGCTGTTTATTCTTAGTTGGTTTAAGAAACCTTAAAAAAGTATAAAGTTACTAATGCAGTAAAGTAAAACTCTTTTTTTTTTTTTTGGCGTGTGTGGCATTACCTAGTTTTTGTGCATTGGAAGGGATCTCTGTGTAGATGATTATAATGTCACTTTCTGACCTTTGCAGCTTGAATAATTGTAAATCATTGCTTCATAACGTGTCAGAGAATGTCTGTACTAGGCAATTAAATGGCAGAATATAATAGACCAAATTATTGCCTGTCATGTTTTCAACAACACAGTTAGTATTTGAGTTACACTTAATCATTACGTGCATTAGCAACTTCATTGGAATCCAGCTTCAGGCTGAGCATGAAATACATTACATTATTTAAACCTCTAATGGTACAAGTCATTTATTTGTGTTGAAGTGTACAACATGCAGAGTTTCATAAAGCAAGGAACACTTGAGAGCTTAATTTATCCAAATCAAAGTCTAAATGCAGATAAACACAAGTGGCAAAAATTAGTAATTTTTATAGGCTGGAAATATTTAAAAATACATGGTTGTGGGTAATTGTAGGCAGCAGGAAT